ACGGCAAGCACATGCCGCCGCACTGGGTGGTCCAGACGCTGGGCGCTGATGGCGTGACGAAGCCAATCACATGGCCCTTGTCCAACCAGCCCCGATCCGAACCCCCCACTTCCTGACGACCAGTCTCCGGAAGCCCCCCAAGCCGCCACCCTTCACGCTTCAAGCTTCGAGGATGGCCTGTCTGCCCAAAACCGCCGCTCGACGCAGGAGCGCCTCTGCCGGCGCACCGCGTGACCAGGCTGTGAGTTCTGCCGCGGCCGTCTCGATGTAAATTCTAGCTGTGGCCGCCTGCTGCCACCTGCCGACGACAACCACTTTGTCCAAAGACCCTGTCACGTGCCACAGCCAAGTGGCCCCGCCCCTCCGGAGCCCGTAGGGGGTCACCAAGTCGCCAGACACCCCACAGAGACTGCAAAACCATTTGTAATCATAGTTGAATTTCGAAGGAGGTTTGCTGTACAGGGGTTGGTGGTGGTGGCGGGAACGAGCCGCCAGCCGCAGAGCTTTGACGGTAATCGCATTGTGGATGGTGACGTGTTCCACCCCCCCGCGTTTTCGGGAGGTCTTTGTGTCTTTCAAAAAGATGACAACGCGTTGCCCATCTGGGCTAAATTGCAATTGGGCGGGCGTAAGTGAAGTTATCTCAGCACTGCGCAGAAGACCCAGAAAACCTGCCAACAGCAATGCCGCCAAATCGACCCGGTCAAACGCCATGGCTACTCCCACAGCTGCGCGCAATAATTCTGAACTGAAAGGAAAAGCTCGTCTCAAGGACTCCGTCCCAATTTTTCAGATACTGCCTTGCGGTGGGAACTGCTGACCGCATACCAGGGTAGAAACGCACCAGCCCCGCCACCGTGTCAGTGGCGTATCCGTGCGACTCGCCTTCTTGCCACATGTGGTTGATATATTCCGCCAGAGTGGTGTCTAAAGACATTAACGTTTGTGGAATACGAAGGTTATACGTTCGAAGATAATGAAAAATCTGGTGACTACCCGTTTATACCAATCCCTCGTCTTTGCAACAATGCCTACTTCACTGAGGTGACGGCGCTTCGAAAGCGCCGCCGGCGCACGCGCCTTAACCGGCATGGTGGGCACGATGCAGGCGGCTCGCGGCGTCCGCGAACCGCCATGCGGATATCGTCCAAACCCCCACTGAGTAGACATCCGTTGCAAGCTCGTGCGCCATCAATCGCCGACGGGGTTTGTTGAGCCGTTGGCTGGAGCTCCGCCCCTTTGCCACCGCAGCACAAGCCACCTGACTGTCAAACACATTGATGAATCGTAATGTTTGGAAACACGATGAACAGGACTTTCTTCGAACGTAATTTTAATATGACACCAATTCCAAAACGTTGATCCGCCAACGTGCCCTCCGGGCACGAATTTGCTGCAGATGGCCATGGGCGCTTGTGGCATTGACCCCTGTCTCGCCACGCGCCGCATGGTGGCCATCTCGGGTGTGCCGGCCTATCCGTGGACGCACTCTCGGGGAAGGCTTCTGCCCCGGACTCGGAAAATACCAAATGAGGAAGATTCGTATATTCCTATTTCTTTCAACGTGCGCATCAAGGCGTCATCACGCAAACTACGCGCACGCTTGGTTCTAGTTTGTTGCGCCCCCTTAAGGCGGGCAAATTCTGCCCCCCCGGGCACCCGCAAGCGACTGATGAGGTAGCCGACGACGGGCCCAGCGGAACTTTTACGCCCCCTTCCCCGGACAACTTCCGCTAGGGAGGACGATGACGACGGAGGCGAAGACAAAGAGGAAGGAGGATGAGGAGGAGGAGGAAGAGGGCAAGCAGGAGGGAGGGAGGAAGGACGACGACTACATACGCCTACGCCCTAAGCGCGGTGGCGGGAACTGCCGAAGGCAATCGAATATGTTGTGGCACCTTCCACGCGTGCGCCATGGCACACGACCATTGCCGGGCGAATGCTGGATAAGGGACCGTCTGCGTGAGCTGCTCAGCTACGCTGGCTGCCAGCCAGACGCGTGCCCCTTTCGTGTCGGCCCGCCTGAGGAGCTGACGTAAATGTGAGCTTTCCCCGCTGGGGACCATTGTGTGAAGTTGCTCCGCAACCGCTGTCGAATCATATGCGGCGCCTGCCGACGATTTGCGCCGTAATGTAAAAATCTGGCCCTGAATCCATTCCGCTCGGCCCGTGGGGACGGCAGGCACTGTCTGCGCCTGGAGCGCGGTGATCGACGCAGCGACAGCAGCCGCAAATCGACTTCGAAACTCGTCCCAACACATGGAATGTCCGTCTGCTCCGGCGGATGCCACCACTTTCTGGTGCAGAAGAGAAGAATTGTGAACCACGCGCCAAGACACCCGCCGGGCGCCGACGCCCGCGAACAGCTCGACTCGGTCGCACCACACGTCAGCGCAACTCTGCAGGTCCAAACTTGCAGGCAAATTCCATAAGAAGGTGTGCCACGAATGCATCAAGGAGCCAAAGCCCCAGTTGACTATTCTGGACTTCGCCCTGCTGATGGCCACGCGCGCCAGGCGATTGGCAGCTGAAAGGGCCGCGCGCTCGGTCCGGCGCAGCTGCGGATTGCCATGTGGACGCAAAGGGGATCGAAGCCGCCCGGCTTCGCACGCGCACGTGCTCCACGAAGATGCATCACGTGCACACATGAACGTCTGGTCTGGCACCTCCCAATGCTCCCACGCCGTGAAAGCATCGTTGGCCTCCGGCCACGTTGGCGGGACGTGCGCGGCATGCTCACGGCGCGACAACAGCTCCGACGCATCGCAAGGTTCGCACACTTCGGTGCCTTGGCACGCCAATGCCCACGTCAGCGCAGCCTCCTGGCCTGCGGCGCATTCGACAAATCCGTAAAGGCGCACCCCTGCCAGGGGGCACCCTTTGCGACGATGCTCCAACGCGCATTGCAAACTGCAAGTAGTAGCCCCGCACTGCGCGGCACATTCAGCGGCGGCCCTCCGGGCCCCTCCGGCCGGAAGTGGAGTTTGGCAGACTGCGCATAAGTTGCAGCGAAGGCTTCCGCCTTCCGCCGTCTCCGACAGCGTCGCGTAGCGCGCTTGCACGCGCGTCCCTCGCCTGGGGTTACGACGCTGATTCTGACATATGGGCCTGGTCGGCCCAGCATGGTTTTTGATGGAAAACTCTGCTTCGCCCAAAACACCTTTTCGTCATGGCCCCTCCCCCTTTCGTAAGGGTCAGAGTTGAGTTTCTCATGGGCCCGTCGCCCTGTTGGGCTGAGGACCATGGACGTGCCCGCGCCCGCGCGGTGCGCTACGACGCCGTGGTGCCGTGCCATGGTGCCATGCCGTGGTGCCGTGTCGTGCCGTGCCACGCCGCGGTGCCGTGGTGCCGTGTCGTGCCGTGCGCGCCCGCGTTGCTCGGGCCATGCCGTGGTGCCGTGCCGTGCCGCGGTGCTTTGCCGTGCCGTGGTGCCGTGTCGTGCCGTGCCACGGTGGCGCCGTTTCGTACCATGGCGGGGCCATGCCGTGCCGTTGTGCCGCGCCCAAGCCGTCGTAGTTCTACGCCGCGTTGCGGCGCCGTGTCGTGCCGTGATTTCGTGCCGCGTCGCAGTGTTGTGGTTGTTGCTCGCCGCTACGTGTCTCTTAGGCGGGGCCTTCCTCTCCCCTTTCTATCCCGCCCTTGCTACCCATCTCCTCCTGCTCCTCCTTACTTTTGGGGGCACATCATTGGTGTCTTACTCATACTGTCCTACCCTCCCTGTTAATGTATTGGCCTTCGGCCCATCCCGCCACCGTGCCTGGGTTGCGGCCTTGATGGGATGTTCGTTGGGCTTTCTTGGAGGCTTTTCGGGTGCTTTTTTGAAGCAGTGTCGAGGCGTCTTGGGAGCCCCAGGAGGGCCCCAAGAGGGCACCTAGGAGGGCCCCGAGAGGGCCCCAAGAGGGCCCCAAGAGGGCCCCAAGAGGCAGGGGAATAAGTGTCCTAGACACCCCCTTGAAACGAAGCCCTCAGGACACTTGTAGTGGAGCCAATTTCTCGGTCCCTTGGGGCCTCGTGGGAGCCTCTTGGGGGCCTCTTGGGGGCCTCTTGGGGCCTCTTGGGGCCTCTTGGGGGCCTCTTGGAGCCTCCCTGGGCCGTCTTCGGAGCCTCTTCTTGGGCCGTTTTGGTGCGGCCTTGGAGGCTTCTTGGACCGTCTTCAACGCCGTGGGGGCCACCAAGTCGTATATACGAAAGTGTAATTCAATTCGTTTGCCGATTTGCTCCGCCCAACGCTTCAATCTCGTGCGAGGTGTCCATTGAATTTGGAATGCACTGTCTGTGGGTCCTCAGCCATTTGGGCCACTCAAAGAAGTTCTATGAACCAATACACTGCTACATTTGATGCACGATCTGAACATAATGTAGTTCTCGTCACGAGATATGAGTTCTGATGGTGAAGATTGGATCTCGACCGTTCCACGTGCTATCAGTGGCGATGACGATTGGATTCAGACAGCTCGTCGTGGACACCCTGCCGATGCGGACCATCCATGTTCCCAGGACGATGGCGCTGAGTACGAATCGTGGCTTCCAGAGAGCCAGACAGCAGGAAATCCAGCCCATCAGATTGTACAAGTGGATGTTCCAATGGATTTTGTAAAGGATGATGCGGTACCGAAGCCTGTTGATCATAAAAACGTCATCGAGACAGCACTTGCAGGAGCTTCTGCGAGAACAGTTGGGACCGTCAAGCAAACTGCATCGGCCTCGAAAGGCCGCGCGGAGTCAGACAAACACCAGGCACTTGCAGCTCGCATGGTTTGCCCGTCAAAGGAGGAAGCTACGAGTTTGTGCAGCACGTCTTCGTTGGCCACCCATGTGGGATGTTCCAGGCAACACTTGTATCCAATGATGTATTCTTTCGCGTGTGCGGCTTACGACACAGTCAGAGAAGCCATGTCTATGTGTGTACAAAGGTCGATATATCGTATGAAACAGAGAGTGCGAGGTCATTTGGTGCAGCCAATATGCGCCATTAGGTATCGTAAATACGACGGCACGAGGTGCAAACACTTGAGGGTGCACTCGCTCATTCGAGACGGCGATAATGATTTCAATGAGTTCCAACACAAAGGTGCCCACGAGCTTTTTGTAACGGAGGCGACGTTCGTGATGGCATACCGCGTGATTCGGAATGGAGTTGAGAAGACGATCATAATGCGACTTCCCCAGCCGACACGTCTCCAGGCCATCAACAGCACGAAGGCAGAGTGCATCGTCCAAGCATTGCGTCATCTCAACTTGCCTTGCGACGGAGCAGTGGACACAAGTTTTATGAGGGTGATCAACGCGTTCGTGCGCGACGGCTTCTCTGGGAACTTGCGGGCTGAGCGTTTCTTGTTGAACGAGGCCTCTGGGAGGACAGGTCTCGGTCTGCTCTGCGACGCCCACAGGAAAGCCACTGTGTCGACACTGTCATTCAGCACAATCAAACCATTGGACACACAATTGATCAGATTTGCCCTCACTTTGCAGGGTGGTGCGATGTGCGATTTTCGCAAGGAGATGCGGCAGCTACTGAAGGAGCAGCTCGTAGTTATCAAGTCTGGGCTTTGCAGCCGCGAGGCATCATTACACAGGGAACGTGCGTGCGACTTGTTTGTACCAGGTGCATCGCCGAGTGACAAGTATCGTCGTGAGTTGATCGGGAAGTTGTTCAATGGAGACATCCGCCGCCGTGGGCGGGTCGAACACTATTGCAATGGGTGTTGCTCGTCCTTCAAAGAAACGCTGAGGCTCATGCGCGGCGAGGGTATGCAAGCCCTGTGCGGGGCAGGCGTGCCAGTGTTGCAGAGGTCCAATTGGACTGGCACGAGCGCCTGCATCAACTCCATCGGCCTGATCTCTCACGTCCACGGGCTCGCGCAGCAGGCTTGGATGCGATCCGTGCCAGGAAGGGACTATAAGCCACGACGGGGTTGCCAGGCCCAAACGGCGAGAGCGACAGGCGACGTCCAAGGCGGTCCAGGCAACCCAGGCACCGCTGGAGCAGATGCTGCGGACGATGACTTGCAGCAGGCCGGAGAGGGCGGCGACGTTTCTGTCTGGCGCCAGGACGCCGAAGACAGGGTCAAGGACACCAAGAGTTGGATTTTCGGCGGCACGTTCGAGGACGACTTGATCATTGCTCGCGTCCAGTACGGCCCCACTGAGAAGCTGATGCTGAAGCAGTTGGCAGTGTCGGGTATAGAGTGGGAACGGAAACAGCAGGTGAAGTTTCTCCGCGAGGGCGCCCGCACGTACCAGCTGTGGGAGGCCAACCGTGGCCAGCCAGAGACCGATGTTAAACACGAGGTCACGGACTTGATGTGTAGCCCAGATGGTTGGAGCACCCTGAAGGACCAGACGGAGCTCCAGGGGATGAAGCTGTACATACTCTTGGCTCGTATGGCTGCTGCAACGTACGAGCTAGTCGAAGTTCCTCATCGCTGGTGGCCCTACAAGACTTTCGCGTCATTCTATGATGATGGGGTTCTTGCGGATTTGAAGAATGCTTCGCAGTCCACGTGTTGCCTGGACCAGTTCACGGCGGACTACGTCGACTACTACGGCAACTCTGTTGGGGGCTCTTGCGCGAGGGCTGAGCTCATGGCGCTGCTGAGCGTGATGGAGTCCGACACGGGGTCGACGGAGAGAGAGCACTCCACGAATGAGAGGCGCAACAAGTTTCGCGTCCAGACCCACGAGAAGCACTTGGACGAGCTCTCATCATGGTTTACATGTCGCAGGTGTTCCACGGACCGTAGAGATGCGGGTTGCAACTTGGTTCAGCGCAAACGCCCACGCGGCGACGACACTGCTGAGCAGGCAGGCCCTGGGCAGAAGCCGTCCGTGAGGAGGTATTCTTGGACGTGGAGGGCGTTCCTTCATGTGGAGTTGAAGGGGCGCTTCATGACGGCAGAGACCGCTGCCGAGATGAGCAAGGCGTATCGCGCTCTGTCGGCCGAGGAGAGATCCTTCTATGAGGAGTTGGGAGAGCTCGCGGCGTACCAGAGGGCCGCAGGGCAGCCGAGCTTTCCAAAGTACAGGAAGCCTCGGTCGGGCAAAGAAGGCCAGGGTGGTGGAAGCGCGCGCCAGCCGCTTCCGCTCGAGGACAACATTGGGCAACCTGGAAGCCATGGCTCCGATCAAGACGGCACCATTGCAGACGGGCCTGGACCCCCTGCCCACATCGACGGTGAGGAGGCATATCGCCCGTACGGTCGCATCTTGATGGAGGCGCAGTTGGTTCTCAGCCGCGAGCGTGCTCGGGTTGCCGCTGAGGACCGTGAGGAACGAGCCAAGGTGGAAGAGCTGCGGCATAATTCGACGAGAATCGTTGATGGAGAGGCGCAGTCGTGGCAGCTCGTCGGCGGGTCTTCCTCGACCTCGGAGATGGCTGTGCCTCGAGATGAACTTACAGCTGAGCCGTCCCCAATGATCGTGATGACGTGGAACCGTTCTGCGGAGACGGTTCGAACAGCTGCCCTTCAGCATTTGGTCAAGACCACGCAGAAGGCGAACGGGGAGCGGTGGCATTCGATGCATCACTACATTCGTTACGAGGACGCCCCTAAGCTTGGCAAGGTTCCCACGAATCGGCGACGCTGTTGGGAAGCCCAGATATGCATCTGCAAGGGCGGAGGGCTGTTCTTTGATGGCCTGATGAGCAAGTTATTGATGTCCCTCCGCATTCTTTCTCGAATGAATGAGAAGTTCCACCCCCTACTGAAGAGTGGCCACTTGGTTGCGCGCTTCGAGTGCGTCAATCCTGGACCCGCTGATCCTGCCCATCCTGGCGGCGATCCGTTGCCAGATGAGGTCTCGGAAGTTTGGCTACACGTGGCTATGTTCTACGACAGGCCGATCAGACCGACGTACATCGTGATGGGCAGGGAGCCCGACCGAGATGAAGCAGGCACCTTGGGCGTGGCTCCGTATTGCGGCCCACACGACGAGGACCTCTACCCCGCTACGCAGTGGGAAGGTTTTCAATACATGGACGTCCGACCGGCCACGAGGTCTTTGATGCTAACATGGTATGAGTTGGTATGCTTCCCCAAGCGTCTTCTACGACCATTCACACCCTGCCGTCTTCGAGTCAAGGCCATGAGCTTCGAGCCGATCGACCTCCTGAAGCTGGCCGTGCCGAAGGCGAAGCGGGCCCCTGCTGCTGGGGACCGCGCGCCAGGAGGAGCTCGCGGAGCTCGTGGGCGGGGTCGCGCTGCCCGCGGCGCTGAGGCGCCAGGGCGAGGCCGCGCCAGGCGCGGCCGATCGGCGCGCGGTCGCGGCGCCGCTGGCGCTGAGGAGCCGCAGCCAGAGGCGGGTGCATCGTCGGACCCGGGCCTGAGCCTGAGGCGCTGGTTCAGCGACGCCGAGGTGGAGCCCGAGAATCGGCCCGATGGAGGTTCCGAGGGTCCGAAGCTCATAAGTAAACTGGAACGATTTGGAGGTGCTTGTTGTTTTCGGAGGCCGTCTGTAAAACGTTTCTTCTGTGATTTTACGGGGGGCTAAAGTACTCAAGTGCTGGGGTGCTCACTCAGTTGTTTAGGCCTGAAGTGTTTTCACGTTTTTATGTTTTTGATGCCCCGTGTGTCTGGTCCTTGGAAGGTTCGGCCGAGCTGGACCCTGGCGAGGACTCCGACTTGTTAGAGCCCGTCGACGTAGTCGAGTCGGATGCGTCGAGCGTCCACGGGGGGTCCGACTCCGACCACGGGTCCATCTGCGAGGCCGACCTCGAGAAGGCGCTGCAGGAGATGGAGGGCGAGGCCCAGCATTACGAGCCTGCTGTTGATCCTGGGCTTCCTGGCGCCGAGCCTGCTGTCGATCCCGTGCCTCTCCCAGCGGCCTCGGACGGCGACTTGGTTGTTTTCGAGCTCGAGGGGGTGCTGCAGGTCCACAAGGCTGGCGTCAGGAGCCCTCCGCAGTATGTTGTCAGAGTTTTCGGTTATGGGTCAGAAGGTTTGTTGCGATATTATCCCAAGAAGGGTCAGATTGTGGCTGAATGTAAAAGGCACAAGGGTTGTTTCAAAACGAAGACTGTGAAACCAAGCGAGGTGGCCGCTTTCATGGGCCAGGGCAGGTGCGTCGGCTTCCTTTTGGCATGGTTGGTCTTTGCCGCCCTCCGTCACGAGAAGCAGTTTGATCACGTGTACTGCCCAGGCCCGACCATCGGCGAGCGATTGCAGTGCCGCAGGCGGGCTCGGCTGTTCATGCAGGTGCCCGAGGTTGCGGGCATGTTCGAGGTCGAGGCGCCGAGGTACGCAGGAGATACGGATGAGCCCCAGAGGGTACCTTAGAAAACAATGAAAAAACATTGGCATACACACAGCACTTGATATAGATGAGGGTTGAGTAGGAGTAGGAGGACCGTCCTGGAGCTCTCAGGGGCCATCTTGGATCTCTCAAAGGGCCGACTTGGAGCCATCAAGGGCCCCCTGGAGGTCCTCAGGGGCAGTCTTGGATCCGTCGAAGGCCGTCTTGGGCTTACGGGCCGTCTTGGGCTCAAGGGTCGTCTTGGGTGTACGACCTGTCTTGGGCCCTTGGGCCATAAGGCCGTCTTGGGCTTGAAGCATGTCTTGGACTCGTGGGCTCCGAGGCCTTCTGATAACCCACGAGGGTCGCCGTGGAGTTTAGAGCCGTGACCCCGACCATAACATAACAGACTCGTGCGGAGATCGGCGGTACGAGGCCAAGGCGGTGGTGCCGCCGATTCGCCTCGGGCACCGTCTCGAGCGCCGTTGTTGTGCCACCCTCTCCCGATCATCGCCGTTGGGCGCTCGCGTAGGCGATCGGGGCGACGCCAAGCTCGCGCGCGGTGCCGTCGAGGAGCGCAGGAGCCGTCTGACCCCCCACACCGCTTATATTCTGGCCTGTGGCCCTATAAGACTCTAGGGGTGAACCATGTGTGAGGGGTGTGCCGACATGCTTGAGTGCGCGGTGTAGACATGCGGTTGTGTAGAAACGTACATGCACGCGCGCGAGCACGGAGCACGAGCACGGCGCAACAGCCGCGACAAGATATGGCCGTAGTGTGGTTCTGGGATGTAACGGGTTGAATGGCTTTATTTGTTTAAGTGTTGGCGTGGGCTCTTGCGCTTAAGGCTTTAGTTTGCTTAAGGGGCTCCTGTGGGTTCTTAGACATAAAGGCAGCCGTGCAAATCTCAGGAGCTGTCTTCGACCCTAGGGCGGTGACCCCAAACGTAGCGCAACACACACACTTGCGAGACTCCGTGTGTCCCTCTTAAGCATGCAGCCCCGACGCACTAGTCAGTCAAACCTACGCCTGGCGACCAATGCCCTAAGCCCGAACCCTTGGGCGCTAAGCCGCGCGCCCATAACCCCCAGCTCGAAGTCCTAAGCCGCAACATGTTGCCCCGAAGCCTCTAAACCCACGCCAGAAAGCGCAATGCCATAAGCCTTATGCCCCGCGCCCCATACCTGTTTTGCCTTGAGCCGTAAGCCCAGAACATTTTTACACATTGCTTTGGGCCCCATGCCCTAAGCCGCATGCATGAGTCATCGGCGTTGGGCCGTAGGGCCTAAGCCCTAAGCCTGGAAACCATGCGCTTTACGCCTTAAGATTTAAAGTATTTAGCCATGGGGCTTGCGCCCGAAGCCACTAGTCCGCAGCCCCGTGTCCAGAGCTCAAAGCCCAAAGCTTCGAGCCCTTAGCGCAATGCCCCATGCTCAAGGCCGTAAGCCCCATGGGGGGGGGGGGGCAGATAGCGGGAGCAGGGGGCGGGAGCCTGGAGCGGCGGCAGGGAGCGGGAGGAGGGAGCGGGGGGGGGGTGCAGGAGCGGGAGCAAGGACGGATCGGGAGGAGCGGGAGCAGAGGCGGTGAGGAGCGGAAGCAACGGGAGGATTTGGAGCAGGGAGCGGGGGGGAGCGGGGTCAGGTAGCGGGAGCAGGGGGCGGGAGCAGGGACGGATGTTGGGTCGATTCCCAACCAGGTGTCGCCCTGCATGGGCGACGCAGCGTCGACGGCCTCATCGACGACACCAACTGCTTTACGGAGTACTTGATGCCGCGCACAGTCCCCGTTGCAAGCTGCTCCGTGGTTAGGGTGTGGGGCCTGGGTTTGAAGACTTACGGCTTAGTGCTCGGGTGCCAGGGCTCACCGGTAATGGGTTAGGGCGTGCGCTTGACGGCTGATGGGTTCGTGCTCAGGGCTTAGGGGCGGGTGCTCAGGGTGCAGGATTTCGGGCATGCGGCTTACAGGTCAGTGCTTGGCGGTCAAGGCACAGGGCTTAGGTGCGAGGGCTCAAGGCTCTGGGCGCAGGGCTTCTGGCTCAAGGCGTAGGGCAGGTGGCAGTCGGCTTAGGGCTTAGGGCTCAAGGTTACGGCTACGGTGCATAGGGCTTCAGGGACAGGGCATATGGCTTAGGGTTTAGGGCTCATGGCAACGGGCATAGGGGGTGGAGCTGGTATGGTTTGGTCTTGGGGCTGTGGGCAGGGGGTCGAGGGTTGATGGCTGAGGACTTAGGCCGTGAGGCTAACCGTTTTCGGGTTTGGGTGATCAGGTTTAGGGCTGGGGTTTCCAGTGTTCGGGCGAAGGCCCCAGGGCCCAGGGCTACGGACTGAGGGCATAGGGCGTTGGGCATGGGGCCTAGGGCCCAGGGCATTGGGAGAATGGTTTTTGGCTTACGGCTTGGGCCACATTGTACAGGGCATTGGGGGATGTGGCGTAGGGCTCAGGACTCAGGGCTAGGAGCTCAGGGCTTCTGGGTGAGGGCTGAGGGGCTTGGGACACGGGCTAAGGGCTCTGGGGTTAGGGTGAGTGGCTTCGAGCTCAGGGCGCATGACGCAGTGCTTTGGGCTTCGGGCGCGCGGTTTAGGGCGTAGGGCTGAGGGTGCGTGGCTTAGGGCTGAGGGATCACAGCTTCTGGCCTAAGGCTTCGGGCCTAAGGCTCAGGGCTCATGGGTAAGAACGTACGGTCCAGGGCCCAGGGCGTAAGCCTCACAGCCTAGGGCTTCGGGCATGGGCCTGAGGGCTTACGGCCTAAGGCGTAGGGCTTCGGGCTTGGGGTCAAGGGCTGGGGTCGGCATCCCCGCAATTGGGGCTTGCTCGCCCGAGCATGGGCCGCGATGGCAGAATCCGTTTTTCCGTCAAAGGACTTCGCAGGGCCGATCACCGAACCCAAGACCGCCATCCGACACCATCCGAACCCCATCAGAACCCCATCAGAACCCCATCAGAACCCCATCAGAACCCCATCAAAAACCATCAGAACCCCATCACGACCCCATCAAAAACCATCAAAAACGATCAACCAACTTCCATCAAAATCGATCAAAATCGATCAAAATCGATCAAAATCGATCAAAATCGATCAAAATCGATCAAAAACCATCAAAAACCATCAGAACCCCATCACGACCACATCAAAAACCATCAAAAACGATCAACCATTTCCATCAAAATCCATCAAAATCCATCAGCAACCATCAGAGCGAAGCGCGAACCAACCCGAGCATTTCCGAACACCAATCAGATTTCATATTTTTGCAAAGGGCAGGAGGGGGGGGTCACGCGAAAACTCCTAGTGGGAGAGGGTGGCGAGGGGCGCCCAGGCGCCCCCGAGGTCATCATTTCCTCGTCGCCCCCTGCCCAGGCGCCCCAAAGGGAGTCGGGCCCCCCTGCCCAGGCGCCCCAAGGGGGCCTCCGCGCCCGAGGGCCCAGGCCGCGAAACTTGCAGCCTGGGCCCTCGGCCGCGGAGTCTGGTCTGGGACACGGGCTTGTTGGCGCAGGGGCAGCCATTGCGGCTTGAGCCTGGGGGAGCGGGAGGGGAGCGGGAGGAGTGAGCGGGTGGGGGGGCGGGGGGGAGAGCGGGAGGGGGAAGCGGGAGGGGGGTGGCGGGACGGGAGCAGGAGGGGGGGCTGGAAGGGAGCGGGGGGGGGGGGGGGGGGCGGGAGATGGGGCGGGAGAGGGGGAGCGGGAGGGGGAGCGGGAGGGGGAGCGGGAGGGGGGGCGGGAGGGGGGGGGGGGGGGGGGGAGGAGAGCGGGAGGGGGGGGGCGGGGGAGCGGGAGGGGGAGCGGAGTGGGCGGGAGGGGAGCAAGAGGGGGAGCGGGAGGGGGAGGCGGGGGGGGGATGGGAGGGGGGGCGGGAGGGGGGGGGCCGGTGGGGGGAGCGGGGGGGGGAGCGGGAGGGGCCCAGCCATTGGGCTCAGTGCTAAGGGCCAACGGCTTCGGGCTCAGGGCAAAGGGCTCGAGCGAGTTCGGGCGAGGGCGTCGGGCTTCGGGCTCAAGCCTGAGGGCACAGAGCCGAGGGCAGAGGACTTAGGGCTCGGGGCTTTAGGGCTTGCAACCAGGTGCCGCGACGCATGGGCGACGCAGCGTCGACGGCCTCATCGACGACACCAACTGCTTTACGGGGTACTTGTGTCGCGCACAGTCCCCGTTGCAAGCTGCTCAGTGGATAGGGCGTGGGGCTTAGGGCCAAGGGCTTGCGGCTCATGGCGATCGCGTCTGGGCACATGACGAAAGGTGCAGGGCATACGCCTGGAGGCTGATGGATGACTGCCCAGGGCTCGGGGCTCTGGACTCAGGAACCTGGGCTAAGCCCGAGGCCATCCCCCCGAAGCCCTAAGCACCGACCTTGGCGCCCTGAGTCCTGGTCACCATGCCGACTGCCTCGCGCCCTACGCCTTGCGCCTTGGGTCCGGAGCCTTGAGCTCACGCCCGAAGCCTTGGGCCCCGCCCCCTAAGCCTGATCAGCTGAGCCCAGAACATTAAGCTTGCTTTCCTGTGGACGTGTGGCATATTGCGTAGGGCTGAAGCCTCAGGGCAGACTCAGAGCTTCGGCCTCAGGGCTTATGGCATGGGCTGAGGGATGATGGCTCAGGACATCGGCATTCGGTCTCAGGGCCAAGCGCTTGCGGCGCAGGGCTTAGGGCCGAGCTCTCCGAGCCCATGGCAGTGGCCTTGGAGCCCAGGCGTGAGGAATGAAGCATTATGGCTTAAGACATCGGACCAACTGCATTGGGCGAAGGGTTTCGGGCTTACGGCTTAGGGCAACGGGGCGTGGGGTTTAGGACATCGGGCAGTGGGAACATCGGGCTTAAGGCTTCGGGCGTACGGCGCATATCTTCGGGCGGCGGGCTTGAGGTCTAGGGCTCAGGGCTTGGGGGTCAGGGCGCACCGCCTCGGACTCGAGGTATCGGGCCCGCGGCTTGCGGATTAGGGCTTGCGGCTGAGGGCGCAGCCCTAAGGGCTCTGGGCACAGGGCGGAATGACCACTGTTTAGGGCCTGTGTCTTTGTGCTTAGGGCAACGGGCTCAGGGCCGAGGAAATGAGGGA